ATGACAGCATCCCTGAGCATCGCCGTTGCAGCGATCACAGCGCGTAGGTGTTTTCGTGCCCCGCGAAACAATGCATTGTTGTTAGGGAGCGCCACCAAGAGTGTCACCTCTCTATTTCTGTAAACCCTCTCTGGTAGTAAGTATGGCATATGAGGGGTTGGCCTATACTTACCAAAGCACACAAACAGAACTGACTTGGACATCCTACTACTTAACTTTCAGACCCAGCCCTAGATCCAACACTGGTCCTTTGCCTTTTCAGACTGTGATCAATCAAATTAAAATTCTTGGTGTGCTTGACTCCTGAACAGGATGTTACAGTTCTACAGCCTCTAAGCGGTATTATAATCTATCAAGTCTATGACTAACATCTATTATTGCCCCTGCCTCTCCTAAACAGACTTCTAAGTCAAAGGTGACTCTTGACAAATTAATAAAGCAGCTTGAATTTCCAAGCTTAAATTTAGAGTAATTAACGGCCTACTATTATTTATTACTGTTCATGGCAATCATGGTGTTACTAGAGCTAAATTCTACTAGATCTAATTCTAGATCTAGATATCTAGATCTAGATCTAGATCTAGATCTAATTAATTACGAATTATTCTGAGGTAACACTACAGTCTACAGGCCTCATCTGAAACGCTTTTACTTTGCACATATATATATATAGAAATCTATAATCCTCCTCTAAATTTCGCAATCTTGACAGCCACGCACTCTAAACTACGACACTACGTAGCTCTCCTATAATATCGTCTCTGTAATAATAATAATGCAGCCTAATAATATAGTTATAAATATAATGATCCCTCAGTCGAGTCAGTGTGCAGTGAATTGAACTTTAGCCACTAGCCAAGGCTACTCTGCTAGGCCTACGTTCAAACTTCAAACTACATTGGCGAAAGAAAACGTTTTGTTGATTCTTCAGTGTTGGGTGACAGTTTATAGTAGTATAAAAAATGCACAGAATTCTACACTTAAGTGTAGAATTCTGTGAAAAAATGTAAACAGTGAAATCTTTGACTGTCGCAACAATAGTTCCTGTTGCAGTAGCCTGCAGTTTTCAGCAGTAATAGCCTATTATTATTTTGCCGTGACAATTTCTTTCTGAGTCAAAGTCCGAGATTTTTATTAATTATTATTGTAGAAAGGTTACTGACATTAGTGCACTCGGTAATCCCCAAATTTTGCTATATGGATCCATATAAATTTGAAGTCAATTTCAGGTCTTAAAAATAATGTGTTATTTTTTACAAATATATAAAGTGAACAAGCAAAAATGACAGTAGGGCCTTGGTTTCTTTGGTGCAGGGACTCGACCAACTCCAGTTCCGACGCCGAGTAAAGCAAATCAAGAACCACCACTCTCTTCTCCGCGGTTTGGGTTTGTTTAGTGCCAACGCCTGCGCCCTGCAGTCTGCAGTCTGTGTTTGTCGACTTGCTGATTTAACATTTGAATAAAAGCGACGTAAGTGGGTACTTTGCTCTTGTGTGCACATGCTAGAGCATTTTAAAATGATTATGATGTGTTCCCGTGTCTTCATCTAGATCTAGATCTAGATCTAGCACTGGGTAGTGACTCCCCATGGCCATGTCGTGACTAGAGTCTCAGTCTAGATTATAGATCTAGATCTAGATCTAGATCTAGTCTAGATCTAGATCTAGATATCTACATTCTTAGTCTAGATTCTAGACTGCCTGACAAGGGTTCAACTCGAATCTAATCTAGAATCTAGATCTAGATTCTAGATCTAGACTAGATCTAGATTCTAGATCTAGACTAGATCTAGATCTAGTAATTATTCAGGTGTAAAATACATGCAAGTCAGTAAGGCACCTTTTTGGGGGTTTTGTCTGAAATAAAAAAAATACTTTAGGCATTGCAAACTAAAAATTTCATATTTACAATTCGCCATCAATATTAAGTAGAATCTAGACTAGATCTAGATTCTAGATCTAGAATCTAGATCTAGATCTACATAGCCAAAAAAAGTCTTAAGAGTACGGCTAGCCTGCCAGTCTAACCATCTTATAGTTATAGGACCTAGATTCTAGATCTATTAACATTAGAAAACAGGTCTCATTAGATCTAGATCTAGATCCAATATCTTGTAATTATTCAGGTTTAAAATACATGATGCACTGTCATTAAGATTAAGGCACCTGGTTTCGTCTCAAATACAAAATATAGGTTACTTAGGTACTGCAAACTAAAAATGTATAATTTACCATTCAGTAGGCCTATATTTTTGGGGGGTCAGTCTAGCCATCATATTAAAAATAAGTATGGCTAGCCCAGCTGTCGGTACTTAAGTACGGCTAGCCTAGCAGTCTAGCCGTCATTAAGTACGGCTAGCTAGCCTCTTCCATTTTTTAATGATTATAGGCCTACATTTCAAACATTATTTTGTGCAGTTTTGTAGACTCTGGTTTTTGCACTCACTCACATTTTGTTAGGAGGATATATATATTGAAGTGGCTAGCCGTACTTAGATCTAGGTTTGGCCCTATCGACTCAAGCCTGTTAAGTACACAGGTGTCTCATTAGATCTAGATCTAGATCTAGTAATTATTCAGGTTCAAATACACATGCAAGTTAGTAAGGCACCTTTTGGTTTATGTCTGAAATACAAATACTTTAGGCATTGCAAACTGAAAATTTCATTTACAATTCAGCCATCAATATTAAGTACGGCTAGCCTGACAGTCTA